ACACGAGTGAGAGCTGTGTAGACTTGGAAACCACTCCGTTAAAACAAGATACTGGTTCTCGAAGAGCCAATTATTACCTGCCGCCACCTTTGCTTTGTCTTCCATAGATGTAAATAGGAATTGAAAAAAATTGGAACTAATTTCCTTCACCTCCATCGCCCGCTGGAGCTTCCAGATGCTGCTCATAGCACGTTTGATCCCCATTATACTCGCCGGTCTATCCCCTACGACTTTACCAAATAGACTTCCCTCACATTCTTCAACACCCGCTTTTTTATCATCTACTCGCAGTTCAACTCCCCCTGCCTCTTCTCCGACAACGAACAAGCATTGAGCTTGCGAAGCACATCCCCCCCCAAATCACACCCCACTTCCTTTCCACCACTAGAATCCCCCATTGCCGGCTACTGGAAATAGCCCTAGCACCAAAAAATACCTAGCAAAATAGCCCGATAACTCTAGATCGAAGAACTCACAACTCCCGATTCAAACAGCAAGAGAAAGAAAACTCCCAGCAGAAGAATTCAAGATCTCAACAAGATAATTGTACTCTCAACGAGAGAATTTTACTCTCAACGAGTAGTCTATGTAGATATAGACTTCTTCAATGTTTATTAAGACTTATAAAAAAACTTTACTAACTTAATTTGTAAATATATTTTAAAGCTAATAATTTTTTTTTTGTTATATTTTTATATATAAAATATCAAACTAATCATCTCTTCATAATTTTTTATTTGGCATTCACATTGTATATGTAAAATAAAAAATAATAATTTTTATCTTTATAATAAAAATTTAATTATATAACAAATATTAATTAAAAATATAATATATTGATTCATCTAATAAAATTATCTATAAAGTTAATAAAAAGTACAAGTTAGAAATAAGACGGATAAGTTGTAAATGTGACGGGTTCATTTGATATCAAGTACATTTTTTTACAAGAATTTTAAGTTTAAAAGAAATTTTTTTGTTATTTATTAAAATTAGGTTTAAACTTATTAAATCGTGTTAATTTGAAATAAATCAATTGATATCTCATTATTTGTATATATCAAACTATCAAAATTTACGTTGACTGCTATCTCCACTCTGTAGGAATATTGTTAGACTAGGCTTATCGGTGACCCAACCTAAT